TTGATTTGTGCCTGGTGAGTCTATCCTAGTCACGTTCCCCTGCCATAAAAGGATACAACTGACCTGTGGTGTATATGAGTGCTGGGGATTGCCGAGAGAATAAGAGGAACTTCCAGAGAAAGCCACCTAGAGAATGGTTTTCACTCTGTCCCCTAACACAACACTTTCTGACTTCAGCTGGTCCAAGGAAAAGAAGGAAGCCAAGGTGGGGGAGGGAAATGAGATGTTCCAGCAACAGCTGCTTGCCTCAGTTTGCCTTCTTCCCTTGGAGGCCTCTGGCACTCACTGTGGGATCCTCTTCCCTCACACCACAACTCATCTCAGTTGACCCCATACGTCCAACATGAGGTCATCAGGATCCTTGCTTTAAAACTCAGTGTTTCCACCACCCGAGCATCTGCACGTGGAGTGCAGGCCTTCCACAGTCTGCACCTCGACACTCCTTAGCCTGAACTTCACACCTTCAAGGCAGCCTCTGTGAACAACTGGCTTATCTGAGATGCATCTGGCTTTCCCAGTGACTTTCTAGAAGCAGAGAAAGCAGTCTGAGTCAGTCTGAGTATTCCCACAGTTTCTACGAGGTCCATGAAGTAACATCTAACATAGGCTTTCTTGTTCCAGGCACATCTTGTCTGAGCCTCTCAGCAACTGAGTGTTGAGGGAGCTGAAGCAACTTGCTCTCACCTTTCAGTAAAAAGATATTTATTGTATGCCCATGTTCCCAGCTCTGAGGATGGGGACTTACCCGCAAAAAGTGTTTAAGGTGACTAGCCTGAGCTTTAATACAATTCTGTCCAACATCAGTTCATAGGAAGTAGTGTCGCTTTAAAGTGGGTCCCTAATCCTGTGGAAGGGGGAGAGGTGTGGATTATGGGAGCCAGGGGGACCAAAGACACTATGGGAGAACACAGAGTCAACTGACCTGCTCATTGGGATCACAGAGACTGAACCACCAATCAGAGAGCTTGCATGGGACTGACCTGGGCCCTCTTCACATGTGCTGCAGTTGTGGGCTTGGTCTTCTTGGGGGGCTCCTGACAGAGGAGCAGGGGCTGTCTCTGACTCTGTTGCCTGCTCTTAGGACCCTTCCCTCCTGCTGGGTTCCCTCAACCATCCTTAATAGGAGAGGAGGTGCCTAGTCTTGCTGCAACTTAATATCCTATAGCTGGCTGATATACATGGAAGGCCTGCACTTTTCTGAAGGAGGGAGGACTGAGAAGTGAGGATTGAGGAAGGGAAAACTGTGATCTCACTGTGAAAAAATTAATTAATTGATTAATAAATAAAAAATAAAATGAATCCCTACAATAAAACGTAAGGTGTACACTGACCCTTGAGAGCTAGTTTACAATTCTTATGTACAGCATTATGTGCTAAGCTACACTCCTACTTTACAGATGGAGAAAAAGAAGCGTAGAGAGGCAACGCAGAATGCGCATGGCTGCACAGCTATACGTGCCATCACAGGATTCAAACTCAGACCCATCTGTCTCAAAGACCATTTCTCTCAATTGTATCATCCTGGACACCATGGAAATGCAGTGGCCAGGATCCCAGAGTCACCTCACAGTTTGTATATCTTTTTGTGAATCAGTTCCTTTCCTGTGCTGGTTCTGATGAGCTTAGCAAGCAGAGCGATCTTATCACGTGTCTGGTGACACTAGTTTTCAAAGCATTATCAAAAGGTAATCAAACCTGGAAAGGCAGAGTTGAAGCTGATCGTTAAAATGTGTCCCCCATTTGTGCCTCTCTGGGGCCTTTTAATAGCATCATCTTGTACTGGGAGTGTCCAGCCTTTGCTATATTTTGTGAACACTGTTGACATTGAGTGAGATAATGCATGCAAAATGCTTAGAATAGCATTTGGAATAGAGTAAGTTTTCAATAAAAGTTAGACTTGCAATCTTTATCAATGTTCATTCAAAAACCTTCTCCCTCTCTAGTTTGACCTGTGAGGCAGGAAGTATTAGTGCCTAGATATAGTAGTGAGCAGAACAAAGACAAGAACATCTCCCCTGAAGTGAAGCAGAGGGGACCATTGTCTACAGAATAGAGAAGACTGTCTATAACTGTAAGTAGAATGACCAAGGATGTGAGGACACGTTGGGAGGTTAAGAGACACTCTCGGGGAGCCACATATCAGGTGTAAAGATAACAGTACCAGGTCCCCTGATGGAGTTGGAAGGAAGGTGGGAATATTCCACGATGTGGCCATGGTGGGCCTCAATGAGAGGAAGAGGATGGGGAAAGGCTCTATGTCTTAGCCATGTTTGTGCAGGAAGAGCATCTGAGCCCAGCAGCAAAATCCCCAAGGCAGCTGTATGGTTAAGTAGTGGAGTCAGGCAGAAAGGACTGACTTGGAGTGAGTTCAGTAAAGCACTAGGAAAGACTGTGTGAGAGCTTCTAAAACTCAGAGCATGTGACAGGCTCTGTAGTCACCGAGAGACTGCAGAGTGAGGCTCGAAATAAATGAGCGGTCCATGCAGTGTCCACACCACGGTACAGAACATCAACCATGTGTTCATAGGGCCCCGGTGACTGCTTTCTGAAGAGCAGGTCACTGGGGGATGCTATTGTGTGAGTATGCACCCCAGTGTTCTTGTATTGGGATGTTAACCCCTAGACTTACATGATAATGGCACTGAAGATGCTGCCTTTGGTATATAATTAGTATTAGCCCAGGCAATGGCTCTGAGACTACATGATGGCATTAGTGGCCTTATAAGGAGAAAGAGACACCCAGTACATTTGCTCTATTTTGGTATGTAATGGGCTGGGAGACTTACAGAAATCAGCACAGGCTCCAAATCAGGGTTTGATTTTCTTCACACTGCCCACCAAGAATATAGTGGAGGAATCATTAATGAAGTTGTCTTAATTTTCAAATGTGTCATGTTTATAGCTGTAGTGACGATCACAAACGTTGAAAAGGCAATCTTAGAGTGTTCAAAAACTATTATCGAATTCAGTGAAGATTTGCTTATTCTGCAATGAACAAGGGAACGTCTGACATATGTCCATTGTCTCATTATTGTATCACTTACTAACATAAAGGAAAAATTCCTTTCCTTTGTATTGGAAAGGAAATATTGATGCCAGAGCTATCTATACTCATTTGTCAGTTGGAACCATAGATTGGTGAAAAATATGAGTTTAGTATGGATCAATGAAGTCACTCTGGGGGAATCAATTAGCTGTATAGTGCTGACAATAACGAACACTGCATATTTCCTTATTATTTGTATGTTACATCCTGTAAATCTTTCATAATAGTGAAATGTATGGAAACTTGCAGGCTTGTATTGTTTGTCAGGTTTTTGCCAACACCATTGGCTCTCCCACTTTGCACAGTACTGTGGTGGGAGGAGCTCAGGGCAGCACCAGTTATTGCTGGTGTGTGGCATATTTTGGATTAGACCCTGAACTTCATTGCTCTGGGCCGCATATTTCACAACTCGAAGGTGGAAATCATGTTCGTGTTTTCATGCTTGCTTTGTGGGGTTGGTGCCCAGTGGAAGTTAATTCCTTTCTCTTTCAAGTATAGGGACCCAAGGGGAACACAACCTCACAGAACTCCCTCCTCAGTCCCAATATGACAATGTCTTCAGTAGTTTTTTCTCCAAGTTCAATGTGCCAGGATCTATCTATTGTTCATATCTCGAGGAGCAGTAATACAGGGCAGACCCAAGTTCAAGTTTCCTTTTCTATTTCTGCTGTCAGAATTTTAGTCAGCAGGATGGATATTGAGCAAAAAGATAGAAAAGACCTAACTTCTTTTTTCTGAACCACAGCATACAACATAGCTGTAAGGTATTGGCTTGTCATCAATGGGATTAGTTACTCACTTGAACTTGCGCAATACAACTTTCTGTGCGCAGCACTTAGTAGGTATCCAAGCTCTGTCATTAATTGAATTGTGGCTAAATAATTGCTAATCTTCTTCAGAGCACTGAAAAGAATGTGCAAACAAATTTTACAAAACGTAGTCACCGATTCCTAACCCAAGACAGCTGTTGGAAACGACAGCATGACCTATTCTTTCTATAACTCAATAGTATTTTGTTTTCTCTAAGCCATACAACCTAGAAAGAGAAAGAAGGAAAAAAATAGGCTTCATTTCTTTCCTGGAAGTGTTCCTGGTGGCTCAAAGCCTTCACCTCTGTTGCAGGATGGGTGCAGTGGGTGGGGGTGGGGGCGAGAGGAGCACCTCGTGTTTGTGTTTCCCACCGAGGGCTGTAGGGGAGGTGTGAACCGTATGCCTCTCGTGTCAAAGCTGCAGGCATTTTTGTTGAGGAGCAAAGAGGAAATGAACACCGGTGGAAGCATCCAGAGCTGGAGACAGGTTTTTAAAAAGTGAAACACAAACCAACTAAACCACCCCATACATCCTACCCTTAGGTCCACCTGAAAGAAACACAAATGTCTACATAAAGACCCGTGAACCAGCGTTCATAGCTATACGAGTTACAAGAGCCAATTGGGAAACTACTTAAATGTCTATCAATTGGTGTTAGAACACGCTGGGGTGCACTCGTGAAATGGGATGCTATTTTGCAATGAAACAAAAGAACTCTTACACATGTTGTCACATCTACAACCTCAAAACATTAGACTGAGTGAAAGAAAGCAGCCAGGCACAGAGGCCCTGCAAACACTGCTATGCAGTGTCAAGGGAAGGTTAAAGCAGATAAGCAGTTGCCTGGGAGGGTGTGGAGAATGTAGCTAAATGGTTGCTGGGGAAGGTATGTGAAAGCGGGGGCGGGTGGAGGTGTTGTGGTACTGGAGGTGACCCAAAAGGAACATGAAGCATCTTTTGGGGGTGATGGGAATGTTCTAAAAGCTGATGTGTGGTGTTGGTGGTCACACAATCTGGTAAATTTGCTGAAAGGCCACCAAATTGTATATTTTGAACCTGGTGGATTTTAGGGCATGTGAAATATCCTGAATCAGTTTATATTGCAAGGAAGCTTACCCTTTAGCTTTGAGCAGCCTATGAATACCCTAACAGGAAGTCCCTGGTGTCTGTGATCTGGACACCGCCTACCATCCCACTGGAACCTGACAGCATCCAGTCCTTGCATAGCTGTGCCTCAAGGAGGCGAGCCCTGCGGACCATGCTAACAACGCACAGCTCTCGCCGAAGCCATCCGAGTCCTTTCACGCCAAATTAGAGTTAAGCATAGTTATCAGCCGTTAGGAAAATAAACTCGTTCTGGTTTCGGGAGTTTTGTGTTTTCAAATCAGTCAGGCTCCTTGAAGAGCTGCCAGTAAATCAGCAGTGGACATCAGTGGGAGACAGATGGAATCTGCGGGCCCGGGTTTGGCAATAATGAGATGGTCAATACCTGGTTGGAAATAAAATTAAGCAGTATGAGCTACCGTCCCTCTCAGAGCACTTTGGCTGCTCTCTGTGTGACAATGACCTTACTAATTGCTTATTAGTGTGAGTTTTATTTCTGTAGGAAGCACTGGCAAGGGTGGTAGGAAGGGGTTAGGAGTTGGGCAGACATGGACAGAAGACAGAGAGGGAAGGGAAAGGTGACCTTCAGGGACACAAGGAGGTTATAATAGACTTCTGTTATGTTCACAATACAAAACAGCAACTAAGAAAGCTGTCTGTGTGGTGTTCTGTGTAGCCTATGGAATCTTAGTCATCTCTCTCTCTTATAGAGCTGGCCTTCTAATTTGTATTTTTAAATGAGGAAACTGAGGCAAATGAAGCAGGATACTTGGTCCCAGACCCACAGTGATCTCAACAGCTGCAAGCTAGTTGTATTTCTAGGTGTTTCCAAGCTGAGAACTCTTCCTACAGAGTTGGACAGAAAAAGGAGGCTCCGACAATGGCCCAGCTAGGTCTTGCTAAGAATGTGAGCCCCGTGACACTGGATACCTCTTCTTGCTCCTGGTCTTCATGCCAAGTGAGGGGTCCTTTGCACAAATGACAGAGAAGATGACCAAGCTCCTGTCACATCTTCTCATACCCACATGACAACCAGGACCGTAATAATGAAAAACAGGAGTACCAGGCTTGGGGCACTCACCCAGGCCACTGGGTCAGACAGTAACCAAAGCTCCCTCTGTTCCGTTCTGGAACCGCATCATTTTTCCCAAGGGTTCCCGTCAATCAGGACAATCACTCTATCTTTTTCTGCTGGGGTTGGCTCCTGGAGTATCTATGTCCACACAGTGCCAGAGGTATACCTATCATGAAGTCACCTCACATAGACACTGACGAAAATCTCAAAGCATCATTGGTGATTTTATCAGCAATGTGCATGGACTTCCTCTAGCTTCATTTTCCTGACCCTCACATTTTCCCCTAAGAGACCATTCACTTTATCCCTGGTGTGTAGCATCTCTTATGAACAAAGCTTCTGCCTGGGTCATGAGCTTTCCCACACTGCCTCACTTAGCTGATTCTATTTGGCGGTGCTCTTGCCCATCCCTGTCCCATGGCCATGATCTTACAGGCTGCCCTGGACTCACTTCTTTTATAATGCTTGCTGCATCACACTGTGTCTGCTGGATTGCTTGCCTCGGTGTCCCTAAACAAAACACTGTAAATATAAGCCCCCAGAAGCATGTTCCCTGGAGAGGGTGAACTACCAGCAAACCACTGCAAGAACCTTCAGCTTCCAATTTCTAGCTCCAAGCACAGTTGCTGGGAGACAGTCAGTACTGGTAGATGTTTTCTGCAAATAGATGGCTGCAGGGTCTGCAACTCAGTCTGAGAAATCTAGCAATAGGGCCTTTCCACCCCAGGGTCCAATGGTGTTCCCTCTAAGTCAAGAGCACAATCTCCTTGGTGAAATTTCTTTGTACTTGGTGATAAATTTCTCCATGGTGGCTCCTTGTTCTGTGATTAGATGCTGGTGAACCGCAGGTGAGAGGGGAATGATTCTAAGAGTGACCAAACTTAAATTTTCAGATTGGATCAGTAGTGTGTCACACAGCCTGAGTCTTTCTGTGACTGCGATGCTGAGAAATAGATGGGGGCAAACGGTTCTCAAGTCACTCCATTAGAGCAGAACAGGGCTTGGTAGGTGTAGTCAAGGTGACAATGGTAAGAACAATAGTTGCTTAGGGACAGGGGCTTGGGGCTTTGGGATGGGGAAGAAATGTTCCCATGGGAAGTTTGAGTCCTTCAGATGTAGGTATGGAAGATTCGAAGTTCTTGAATGTCTTTGAGCTACCTAGCCTTTCACTGGATGAATGTCACACAGTCAGATTATAAGAAACATCATTCTCCTTAGAACGTCTGCTCCCTTCAGAATCAAGGCTTTCCAGCATGTAGTTCCCTTAGACAGAACAGACCCTAATTTATTTGTTTATTTAAGTTTTGCTTGGTTTAAGTTGCCCTTTAGATTACAACTCAAGGTCATATACTAAGATGAAATCAATGCTACCTCTCATGAGTTTTCCCTGAACTTACTGGAGTTTCAAATGGTTATTTGTGAAATTATTTGGTTTTCTCTGAATGAATGCAAAGTTTGTAAAAATGCAATGTCATTTTTTTCCTTTTGTTTTCCAAAATGGAGCAACCACTAGAATGCTTCTCCTAACATTGAGAGCAGGCAGTGTAGGCTTGGGTGGCCCATGGACTTCGGAGAGATAAAGATGCGTTCAAGTGTTAGCTTCTACTTTGCTCAGTCATGAATGCATAAGCATCTTACTGGAGCTGACCTGGCCAGGAGGAGGAAGGGGAAAGTTCACCTCTGTACATACATATTGACAACATGAGGATCTAGGGAAGAGAGTGCTCACGTAAGGTACAGCTGATTCCACCAATTCCCAGGAGCTGAGAGTGAGCATAGAATCCCTGGGGAGGGTGGGGAGACACACAGGCATCTACCAGACTGGGAGAAAAATCTTAGCACAAAGGTCAGCCCTCAGCAATCCTCTGGGGAGTTTGCCTCTGCACCTACCCAGTGAAGGGGCTAGTATTTCATCAGCCCACCCAGGTAGGTTTGCAAGCACTAGTGTCTGGCTTACAGAGTATGGACAAAGCGTCAGGATGTAGTCTGGCTGGTGATCACGGTACTGCTCCAGGGAAAGGCTTTCACAGGCAGAGCCACAGTCTCTCCCAGAACTTAAGCTCCCACAGGGAGTTTCCACAATATACTCATTTTTTTCAAAGCCTCAGAATAGAAATCAACCCCCTTCTTTAGTCCCCAGCAGGGCTTCTCATGCTGACAGAGAACCACAGTTCCTCCATGGCAGGAGAAAGTGCACGGTTGACTCCCTGAGAGCTCGGGGAGGAAGACTTAGAAAGACTTCGGAATACAGTAATTAAGGGTGGGGCAGAGAATAGAGGGATAGGGAAGAGAATAGCCCTCCCCTCTGCTGCACCAGGAAACTTTATCCCTTTTTATGGAAACTCCTCAGCCTGGGGATACTGAGTAAACCTTGTTTTTGGATTGGGCTTGCCTTTTGTCTGGCTCCTCTGCCTGACGACATTGTTCCAACAACTCTGCCTTTGCATTGCACTTGCTGGTTGATAGGCTTCTAGGACTCTCCTTGGTCCTCATCGGGACTTGGATCACTCAATGAGACAAGTGAGAGAGTGTTTTCCCCTTCCTCACACTGCAGAGCAAGTGCAGACTGCTGGTCTCCTGGGACTAGCCCTGCTGTACAGCTATCGAGTGACAGAACTGGGATCCAGCCTACATCTGTTTAGCCAGAAGCCCAGGGTTATTTCTAGCTTTCTTCTCACTGTATGCCAAGCCCTGATCCCCATTCTGTGGACTTGGGAATTATGGAGTCACTATCTCCGCAAAAGGACTAGGAACTCTGGGAAGGGAGAAACCAAAGCATTGATTACAGTGGAAGAGGGGAGGATTAAGGTCTCTGGCTTAAGGCTATCCTTTTCTCATTCTCCACTCAAATAATTTGAACATTTGTCACTTTCATTCATATTAATTCATTCATTGACTAATTTTCTCAGTCATTCTCTTACACGTGAAAGCATTCATTCATTCGTCCATGTATTTACTAATCTCTTCTTTCATTCATAAATTCCCATTCTTTTTTAGTAATTATACCAATAAGCCACTTTTTATAGGGTATCAGTCACAGGCCAAACACTATGCTAGGCACTACCGTCCTACATAAGTCATAGTAGACAGCCCATGATAATAGGTAAACAATACCGAGGATGATATTTCTCTTTTACGTCCAGGCCATTTATCTTCATGCACATTGCTCAATGAATGAATAAATGGGTGAGCAAATGAATAAGGACAGCAATAAGGACAGTGTTGAGAGAAAGCGTGAAGGAGGAGCAGAAAACGAGGCTTCCTAACTCGCACTGCCTTCTGCTTACACAATAGCAACGGTGCCAGATGCCACGGACACTTCAGGAAATCAGTGCCTCCTGGTCCACTCGCGCAAGTTAATGCAAGCCTCTCGCTTTCCCTTCCACTCCCTCCCTGCTCCTCCTGATGTCGGGCAGTCTTTGGGTCAACACGATGAGGTCAGCCTCTGAAGAACTCTCCAGGATATAAGCAGAGTCTGAGTGACCCCTGCCCAGACTGTATTGATTGAAAAGCATTTCCAGCTGCCTAAGGTCCGAATCCTCTCTCACGAAGGCCAAGCACTCCAGATGCCCGCTATAGGAAGTCATTTAATTGTGTTCTCTGCTGGGCTGGGTAGCCCTCAATAAGCAGAAGGCTGGAAACCAGAGACAAGTGGCAAAGGAGGTATTGCTTCTGCCCCAGATGCTCAGATGAAGAGAAAGGAAATGTAATGACTGGGGAGGAGAGATCACAATTATAGATTTTTTTCTTCCAGATCACTATGTGATCTGAAAATATGATTTTTTTTTGTAGATAGATAAATGAACAGGGAGTAGGAAAAGACTTAGGTGAATTGAAATAGATACATTTGATAGAAGGTGCTGCCACAGTTTTTGCTCTCTTGCCACAAGGAAACACTACAATCAAGGCAACTATTATAAAATAAAACATCTACTTGGGGCCATGATTACAGTTTCCGAGGCTTAGTTCATTATCATCATGGTGGGGAGCATGGAGCATGGAGGCATGCAGACAGGCACTAGAGCAGGAGAGAGAGATGAGAGATAGACAGATAGACAGAGAGGATGAGAGAGAGAGAGAG